GCACAACTTTTACGAAATCTAGTTGCTACATCTTTTATAACGCCTCTATGTATGAAAATTCGATTACCAATTTTATCATGAGAAAGAGGTGTAAGATCTGATTTATGTACTTCATTTAAATCTCGTATGCCATTAAACAAAGCATATTGAATAAATTTAGGCCTGGGTTTATGAGTTAAAAAAGTAATTCGTTCATTTAACCAGTCTTTGATCTGAGTTAACGAAAATTTATATTCAGCTTTTTTACAGGCATTATGCATTTTTTCAACGGTTCGATAGTACCCTTCAGGTCGGTAATATAATTTTTGTAAAGCAATATCCATATCTAGTTCACGACCCCTTCTGGGGTCAATATAAATTACGGGTTCTACCATTACTTTGATTTATTATAAATAACAAAAACTCGTCATGGATGAATTAATACAGACAAATCAGGAGCTCCATGAGGAAATTGACCGATTGGCTCAATCAAACAGAGACTATGAACGTCAAACTTATACCCTTGAAAGGGATATAGTTTTGCGTGAAGAAAGGATCCGGTATCTCGAGGAGGAACTAGCAAATACAATCGAACTTTCTATACACGAAAGGGAGGAATTAGAAAAAGAGATATCTGACCTAAAAAAAATCGTCTATTGTCTTAAAAAAGAGATCGAACAAAAAGACAAGGAACTTATTACTAGGGAAAATCAACTAGCGGAATTTGATGTAAGGGAAAAAAAGTTGAAAATCTGAATTCGGGAAATATCTAAATCTGCAGGTAATACCCCCAAAGCATATAATCAGGTGGCAAAGCTAATAGATGAGAATGAGCGTTTGAAACGTGAAATCGATACTTTAAAATATAATCTTAGAGATCGAGACAATAAATTAGCCCAGAAAAAAACTCGTATAACTGATTTGCATTGCCAAAATTTTGGTATTAGGTTATTGCATTATCGGGACAGATTGGAACTTGTCAATACCCGAGAAACTTTAAGAGTTACAGAAGCATGGAATATAGGTAATGAATCAAATTCGGAAGAAGATTCAGACGAAAATTCTCAGGATAGTAATACTTCTGATTTAAATATGACCATAATACCAGAATTAGCTGATGCCATAGAGGGCTATTTAGATAATACTAGAATAAACAGAACCATTTTAGTCAACCAAATAAAAAGAGCTACAGGGCAGATTCGTCGTAAATATACAAATCTCCAAACTTATTTAATAAATGAACAGCAACGATATAAAAGGCAGTTAAATACCTGTCGTACTGAAAATGGATTATTAGAATATAATCGTGATCGAATCTTTGATAGGTATGAAAAATGGAAAAATAAAACAAAGGATGAGCGACAATTAATTTTAAATTTACAGGGACAAATTTTATTGTTACAGAATAATAATCCACATCAAAATAATATAGTAACAATGGTAGGATACGGACCACCAACTTTTAGCGGTGCACCTGGAGAAGATCCTGAAGACTTTATTAAAGAATTTAAAAGATATGTATTAGCTTGTCGAATTGATGTAGGAAATGCTGGTGGAAGAGCTGAAGTGGATGGATTATTTGATTCGTGCTTGACTGGAGATGCCTCAATCTGGTTTACAAATGAGATCAAAGGTCAAAATTACCAGCTTGATAATATTCTTGACAATATAGGAGTAGCAACTGTAACAGCTATCCGAGCATTAAACAATGGTGCCTTAACTGGTATTAATGCTAACCAATTTCGAGGACAAGCTTTAGTAGTGCGAAATACAGCTGGTGGAGATAATACAATTACAGGAGCCAATATAATTCCTGCAGGAGTCTGGGAAGAAGATTGGTCAATTGCCGGTGGGCACCCTGCTCCAGCTGGAACAGCGGTTGTAGCTCCGAATGCTAATGGAGGAGAAAGTGTTGTACTTCCAGGTATAAAAATTGGACAAAAATTATATGAGCTTGAATATAACTATACAATGACCAATGTATTAAAACAATCAGCTTTGTTCGGTACAATGGTACAAGGAACTAAATCGGTTCAACAATTTGCATCAGACTTACGGAGAATTGCCAGACTTGTCAAAATGACTCCTGAACAAACTCGTGAGCAATGGTTAAGAGGATTATCACCAATGAATCAAAATAATATTCGTCAAGGTGGTATATTTTTCCTGTCAATGGATGAACAACTTAAAAATTTATCGGAACTTGAAGCATATACATTTAGTCAAGGCAATACATCCCATCAAATAATACAACAGCCATTTCAACAAAATCCAACATTTGATCAATTTAAATCCGAACTAGAAAAAGAAAGATCTATTTTTAAAGCTGAACTATCGAAACGAGATGCTAAACATAAAGCTGATATGGAAAAATTAGAATCTATCTTACAACAACAAAAAGTGCAAGCACCAGTTCCGCAAACCGTTGAACCGGTTAAACAACCAAGAGGCCCCCATCAAATTTAAAAACAGAAGAAGATTATGGAAATATTATTTAACTAAATTCCTTAATGATTTAGGTATATATAGTAAAGAAGATTTAGATAAAAAATATACTGAAAAACCTTTTCAAAGGTCTCGTCCACAGCAAAAAGATAATGCTAGATTAGAGGAGAAAGTAGATGAAATTGGGAATATATTATCTCGCCTTAATATAGACAAACAACCCCAAAAACCAGTAGCCAAATCAAATCGAACACAACGATATTATCCCTTTCAACCAATAAATTCTAGCGTTTCAGCTAATGAGGAAGGTAATGAGGGTGGATATGATGAAGAAAAAGGTATATGGTATGATTCACCAGAAAAAAAAAATGGATATTACCAATAGTTGATAAGCTTTCGGAAAAAGGTGAGTCTCAAGGTGATATAATCCCCAGAATCTATGATCAGTTATTACTCTCATTATCACCAGCAATGCAAAGAATATGCAAATTTTCGTTTACTACTAAGAAATCAGAAATGAATTGTCCTATGGATAGTGAGAAAACAAACGAATGGTTTGAATCTCTCCAATATTTAGTTTGCTATGTATGTGATTTGACGATTTACAATACTTATCTTAACCTAGGGAGTGAATTCAATGTAGTAAATAATGCATTTGGAGAAGCATTAGGATGGAAACCTGATCTACCATTCGACTTTCAATATAAAGGTAATTCAGAACACGTTGACAAATCATTGGGATGGTATACGGATGTACTAATTTCCTTAAAAGATAAAGAAGGAAAAACTATTACTGTTACAGGAAATTTTGCACGTATTGATGATGTGGAACCAGAACCTATGATTTGTTTAGGTATGGCATGGATTCGAAAAGTTAAATGTGTTTCAGATGTCGATAAAAAGATATTTCGCATGGAAATACATGGAAAGACCTATATTATTCCAACATTTAGCAAGGCCCCAGAAGCATTGGATCCACCAAAAGAAAAGCAAGATTCATCTAGCTCGACTAGTGAGGAAAACTTAAAAAAAAATGTGTGAATTGTGAAAGTTTAACTATCCATATAACGGAACTTGAAAAAGCACTATTTACTAGTGTTCAAACCAATTCAGAATTTATTGGATATTATAATGATTTGTGTAATCAGTATAAAGAAAAAATCGATTCTATACTTTCGAATTAAGAGTAAATAGTTTAAAAATATCAGCACATATAACTGCTCTACTTTTTTTAATATCTTTTTACATTTTTTTAAAGAGTTCTAAAGGATCTTCAGTTTCTCACATGATTTTAGGTGATATAGTTTCTTTTGCTTCTGAAATTTCATCTATCTTTTTTATTGAATTTTTACTAACAAGATGTTGATCAGAAATACGAACAGATTTGAGCTTAGATTTTTTCTTTTTTACTTCTTCCACAACTACAGATATTGAAATATCACTTTCTGAATTAGCTAAAGATGTATTTCAAGTATTTATACAAACCTCTTTTCCTTTTCATATTTGATAAAAATGGGTATTGGATATAGGATATTTATCTCTAAGCATCTCTAAAGGTTTGAATTTCATATCTTTGTATTGCATAATATATTTATAGTCATTTGGTGATGGTTTGTTAGCATCAAATCGCATGATTTAGTATCAATAATATTGATAATAAAAAAAAAATCATTATTGATAATAATACTAATAATATCAGTAATATCAGTAATATTGATAATATTTGTAATGCGTTATTATTGATAATACCAATAATATCTGTAATACCAGTAATATTGATAATATTTGTAATATGTTATTATTGATAATATAAAAAAACATTATTAATTATAGCTAAGTCAAAAATACATGGCTAATGTACATACATTACGAGACATCAACTTAAAAGGATATCAGTTTGGAAGTACTAGGGAAGTGGAACTTGAAAAAACTTTACGTGATAGTTGTATGACCAATTCTGAACTTAATAAGAATTTTAAAACTACCGGAAAGTATATTCAAAGTTTAGTAAAAATATTAAACAGGATAAAGTACAATTACAACTTGATCTAAATTGAACCAATAAAGATAAAGAGAAACTTTCTAAGCATATTTATCAACTTATAGATGAGATTAAACGATTGAGCTTAGAGATAGATACTTTAACATTTCAAAATAACCAATTACAGATTTTCAATGCTAAATATGAAGCCAAGGATATCATTCATTTGAAAAAAATAAAATCACTCCAGTCAATGATCAAGATATTAAATGGTAAGTTAGCATCAGCTCAGAAGGATACATTCTTAATTCAAGAAAACTTAATGAAAATGGAAACTAAGAATCTATTCCTTAAATTTAAAATGTGTGAGTTTAAACAAATAGAAGTTGAATTGGAACGTGTAAGAAGCGAACTTGATCACCTGAAATCAGAGGCTATATCAAAACCTGTAGATTCTTTAGACTATTCCACAATAGTTGGTGGAGATGAGGAAAAAATATAGTCAAGTCTGACTCACAGAGTAAGGATGTTTTTACATCTAATATATCTATAATTAGTGAATCTAGCAATAGTCTCAGACCGTATCTTGTATACAGAAAAAATATAGAAGATATCGAAAAAATCGATGATGATGATGGAGTTATCCCTATACCCAAGGTAAGTGACTCACGAAGTGAGGATGCTAACATATCTGAAACTAATAATAGCGAAACTAGTAAAGATATTATGTTAGATACACATATAAATTCTGATATATTATTGAACACACTTGAGAATGTGACTCTGCACCTTGTACAAGTAAGAAATTATACTTCCTTTCCGATTAAATTATATCCACAGATTTCAGTAGGAGGAATAGAAGCAATTCCTATTGTGGCAAGTGGTTTAATGGTACCATTATCAACATATGTATTACTTACCTTATTGATTATTGTAGTTATGTAGTTCGTGATACTAAGATGCAAATTAAATATAAGTAAAAAAAGCAATCAGTTGCGAAATATGTGGATCGGATAATAGGATTATCTATTTGAACTTGGATATTATTCGTATACAGAAAATATAATAGTTTTTAATCATGTCTAGTCACGAAGTAACTGTCTCTAGTAATATTTGTTGTAGTTGTAAGGAAATATCATCACCATTGTATATAGATTGCATTGTTACACATTCTTTTATGATGGTAAGGATGAGATTTCGCGGTGGCCATAAATTTAAGAAATCAGATACCATTACTCTTGAACTGGAGCCTTCGAATACGTATGATAAGAATGCAATAAAAGTTATGGTAAATGATACCCATAAAGCCTATGTGACAAAGAACGAGAATGTAAGGATAGAAGATTTAATGAAAAAATATTCAAATTATCAGATCACTGCTCATGGGAAAAAGAACTATAATCAATTGATATCTTTAAATCTCAAATATCCTTGGATGGTTTGTTGAAGATGTCATGATACATTACAAGCATCGAGAGATTATGACTATACTTATTAATGGATTTATTTGATTTTGGGAGTTATTTATATACAGAAAAAAAGTGTCTAAGATTATTGATAAACATCAATATACTTACTACTTATGTGACTTGGGTTGGAAACCTATGGCTCTGCTACTGACACTAGCTTCGCTATTATTGGGACTTCAGACTTGCAAATAATTTTTCCACTTTTTGCAATTTTAATTTTTGTTGATCAATTTCACTATGCAATTTATTATTAGCATTAATTTGCTCTTCAAGCTGTTTAGTGATTTCTTGCATAAAAGGGTCAAAAGTTTCAAACAATTGTCGGGATAAACTATCTAACTCTTTTTTAACGTGACAATTAATCTCTTCCTCACATGCGGAGCAAGGACACTTATGTGTTTGGATCGGGCATATTTGTATTATATAAAGAATTTTTCACTATATGCCAGCTTTTTCATTAGTATTTTAATTTTTTCTGATATCTATTAATTTTATATCTTAAAAATGATTTGACTAATGGATTCACTGCACTAGCTTTATCCTTTGTTATTGGATTTTGTTTAATAAAACAAGAATTAAAAGTAAGATAATTATTAAAAAACAATACAACTGCTAATCACAATGACTAATAAATTATCTTTAAATGATGCAATAAAAATAGCTGAATCTCAAGGAGGACAATGTCTTTCCAAAGAGTATATCAATAATGAAACTCCAATGCTATGGGAATACAATAAAAATCACCAATGGACTGCTAAATTTCATCATATCAAAAATCAAGGTTCATGGTATCCAGATTGTAGTAACAGAAAACCTCTTAATCTTGAAATTGCTAAACAAATAGCATATGATAAAAATGAAAAGTGTTTATCAATATCTTATGTAAATAGCAGAGAGCCTTTGAAATGGAAATGTTCTAAAAATCACATTTGATATACAAGTTTAGGAAATATAAAAAATCAAGGTACATGGTGTAAGATATGCTCACAAACTCAGTATAGTATTGAAGATTGTAGAAAATACGTATCTAAAATGAATGGGGAATGTCTTTTAACTGAATATGAAAATTGTTATACTAAACTATTATGGAGCTGTACAAAAAATCATAAATGGTATGCAACTTTTAAAAATGTAAACAAACGTAATACATGGTGCCCATATTGTGTATGTAATGTTCAATATACTTTTGGAGATGTCAAACAAATTGCATATAGTAGAAATGGAAAATGTCTTTCAACCGAATATAAAAATTGTTATACTAAACTATTATGGAGTCGTGCAAAAAATCATAAATGGTATGCAACTTTTAATAGCGTTAAAAATAGAAACTCATGGTGTCCATATTGTGCAGGCCAGGCTAAGAATACTCTCGATATTGCTAAAATAATTGCATTTAATAAAGGTGGAGAGTGTATTTCAAATAAATATATTAATGGTAAATCCCACTTACGATGGAAATGTGTCAGA